AATTAAAGGAATTTAATTTATTTTTATACAAAGTGTTTAGCAATGACATTTTTTTTTCAACTGAAAGCCTGAGTCTGTGAGCTTCTATTAGTCAAACAGTTGAATTCAGCGCTGACAAATATTAGCAAAGAAGTGGTTCCAGATGAACTTGTATTATGAAATAGGTAAAAGTTGTGAAACTGAGATTGTACTCTCGGAGAAATGAAACTGTTAAGGGGTTTTTTATTATTGCAGATGTGTTTAAAGAATTGACAAATGACATTTGTCAATCAAGTTAGAAGGGTCTTCTGCCTTTCTTTCATTAAAATAACCTTGGCTGCTGCACTTTCCAGTGATCACAATCTGTTGCTATCCAGTAAACTTTAGTTGTGATTATTTTAGCTTGGATTCAATGCATGGAGAAGGCACAGATAAAATCAGGTTGTTTTTTTCTGTTATTTTTTTCCCCATTTAAAATAATGCTATACTGTAAAAATAGGTAGAAAGAAAAAGAGAACTGAAAATTCAATAATTGTTAGAGGCTTATTCTGGAATGTGTTGCAGAGTTTTGTTTAAACTTAAAAACACGTTAAAAAGATGGGGTAACAAATTAAGAATCAAAATCCATCAAGTTAAAAGCTGAGAGTGACTAAAGAAAAAAGCAGAAAGTGGAGTGGGTCCAATAGATGGGATGAAGTGAACATTTCACCATTTTCCATAACTTCTGTAATTTATTTTTCTTCTGGAAAGAAATCTGTATATTGTCCCTGTGTGGAAGAAGAATATCAGAATTTGAGACCGTCTGTCTGCTAACTTCTAAAATTGGAGGCGATTGCTCTAGCCTGCTCGCATCTTAACTTTTCTTTACAAGAACAAAATTAAAGCAAAATGTTACATGCCCTAAGACATCTATATAGAAGGTATGGTTAGCACTACCAATATAATTGATTTTGCTTAAGATATTGCTTCATAAGTCTTGTTTTGCTAATGGGCTTGTTTCCAAATCTAACTTACAAATTTTATATAGGAGTAAAAAAATAAAATAAAATCCACTTACTCTACTAGAGATTGTAGAAGTAGCCCACAGTGGATGTCTTATAAATCCTTGTAAAGATGTGTTAAATCTAGGTTTTCTGTCACTGTGTAAAAGTTTTTTTCATAGGTTTATTAAATTGCAAGTGTTACTTGAACTCCATGAGCATTGTGAAATAGTCGGCAGAATAGGAAATGAAAGTGTCCTGGTCATATCCAGTATTGTTATAAAATATGGAGAGGCATCTTATGAAATTCTGATATGGGCCACAGCTTCTTTTTCAGTTCACTTTTTTTAAAAAAGTTTTAAAAAAACAAAAAAAATTTTGCCTTTTTAATGATAATGAATTAGGTTTTTAAAATCGCAAATAAAATTGCCAGCCTGTGCTCTTTTTTTTTTTTTTTT